CCAAGTCTGAAGATTTTCTGCATTCTAACACACACACACACACACACACACACACACACACACCTTCCATTTCCTTTCCTTTAGTGCTTTATGAACTTCCTGTTTGCCTTTAATTGCCCCACTCTTTAACAAATGAACACATTCTCTCTCTGCGTGCTGCTGCGGAGGCGAGCAGCAGCTTCATCGTACAATCGTCCTGAAACCTTTGCGAGCTGAACACAAAGCAAACGTGACAGAAGGCAACACGGAAAAAGGATTTTTATTCATGAACTGTTTTTACAAGCAGTCCAACACGCAACTTCCTACCTGTCTCGAGAACAAAACAAAACAAAAAAAAAAATCATTGAAATAAAATAAATTTAATAATAATCATTGAATAATATTGTCAATTATATATCAGTATTATCATAACCGTAATGGCAATAATAACCCAAAGCCAGTAGTATCTGTGTTTGTCTGTGGCGTATGAAAAACAAAACGAGGGTTTCTGATGGCGTAAACCGGAGGGGTTCGTCTACAGCGAGCTCTCGGCTGAGGGCTCATCCGCGCGGAGGAGAGACAGAGCGAGAGAGCTCCCCTCACGCGCAATAAATATGAAAGAGCAAAGAGTCCTGTATTCAAACAAAAATAATCATCTGGAACTCGCAGGTACAATATCTAAAGTCTTTTATGTGCAAGATTTGAGCTGAAGTCTTCACCACAAACAATTATACTCACATCAAAACCCCCGACCTCCCCCGCACAATTTCATTTTGTTTTCTACATTAAATCTTTTAAATAAACCTAGAGCATTTTGTCATTTCATATACACATATATTTATATATACTTTGAATTTTTTTTCCTATATGCCATCCTTTTTAAGTCGTCTCGTGCTGAGCGTGTGTGTGAATCTGTGTGCGACAGGAAAAAGAAGAGAGTCCACTGCGTGAAACATACAAAGCGGTACTGAAGCGCACGTATGCTCACACGCTCACAGTTTTGGACCCTTTCGGAGACGCAGCCGCAGCTTCAGAGTTTGTGTGGCGGCGGCGATGGCGGCGTTGTTTTTTTCTTTTCTTTTTTTTAAACATTGGCTGCTGCCGAGTCCGCGGCGAGAAGGGTCAAAAGTTCAGAAAAGGAGGCTTCCCCATTGGTTCCACTCAATCAGCAACAGTTATTTGGCACATTGAACAACTATTAAGTAACACATTGGGCTAAAAAGGTGCAACAACATAAATTTCAATGAAAACAATAAAAACCATTTTGGTTTACAAAAATAAAAGACACCTTGAGAGGTGACAAAATTTCTCTATAAGACGATAATATCTCCCCCTGACTCTGGTAAAGGCTACAAAAAAAAAAAAAAGAAAGAATCACAATGCACCCCTAAATCAACCCTTTCCTACTGCAGGTCACACATCACAGCTCTGGAAATGCATGGACATCACAGACGAGGACACTGTACTGCATGAAAAATAAAAAAACCCTGAAATTAATGAATGTATCTGACGGCAGATGGGTTCCTCCCGCTCCTCCGCCGCGTGCTTTTAACACCAAGATTGTGCGCGTTTCTGCCCTTTGCTTCGTTACGAACTCCGACGAGGTTTGTGAAAAAAAAGCCCCGATTAACAATATAAATTCACCTCATCTGAACTGTGTCACATTTAGGAAAAATAACAAAAGAAAAAAGACAAAGTCATGAACGTTGAGGAAAACTCCACCCTGAAACACTTTAGTGGGAGATAAACGCTGATGAGTGTTAAAGTGGTGCTCTACGTTGTTGTTCTGCTCGTCTGATATCTGTTGATGGGAATATTTTGGGACATTTGGTCGAATAAAACAAGCTACACGAATGCATCATTGACACGTTTTCACTATTTCATCACTAATCTATAAAATACTTTATTCAGATTAATCAACAGTGTTCAATGTAATGTTGCATTTCCAATACGAGTGAGCTTGTTTCTTCCTGGAGAAACGTCTTTCAGCTGGGCGTACACTGCGATTTAAGAGACATATTTCATCTTTGTTGGGCGCCGTTTGCGCCGACTCCTCCTGAAATAGCGTCGGTCGGATGAGTTTCTGACGCCCAAATTCCACTGAGGTTGACCGAGGCGGTTTGGCTCGCGACATTGTTTTGTATTTTCTCAATTTTTCTCAACATTAGCTCTTACTGTCCGGCCTGGTGCCGCAGGATGTAACGCAATAATCTAGAGAAAACTGACTGATTCTATTGGCTGTTTCTGTGTCCGACTTCCTGCCAGCTTGATATGCTCGTCTAGATCGTCTAGAGCGGGCGTCATCAGCTCCGGCCCGGTGGATTTATGTGTGCTTTGACTCGCTCTGGCACAGTTGAAGCAAAACTACAAGTCGATTCCCCAAAGTCTGAAACTTTCTCTGGGTCTGAAAGCGCCGTGGCGACAACGCGTCGCATAGACGGAAAATACAGAGGCTGGTCGAGCTGTGGCTGACGTTTCCTCCGATCACCACAGATATGAACGAGTCCGTATAGGTGAGTTTTAACAATTGGCACAAATGATCTAGCCACACGATGTTTCTGCCTTGTTAACATTACTGCTAGCAAACTGCCTCGAAGCTTTCGAACAAAACTTTATTAACAGCCAACAGCCAGAACAGTCCGCAGGACGAAGTGACGTTTTATTTTGTGACTAAATATCATCTCAGTGTTTCTGTTGCAGTAAATTGATGCAATTTTCTGAACTTACAGGACTTTTCTCGCTGTTCCACATTGCTGATCAGCAGAAATCTCACTGTGCAAATATTTTGTGAAAGCACCAATATTTGTTCCTACGATATCGTCACAATATCGATATCGAGGCGTTTGGTCCAAAATCATCAGAATTTACTCCTAAAAATCGTACAGCGTGCGCCCAGCTTTACAGTTTCCCCTGTAGGAGTCCCAAAGGCATTCTGGGAAATGCAGGATAAGTAAAGCAGTCCGTGTAGATGAGGCAGGCCGCGGGAATGAGTGCAAACATTTTCAACCCCCCGTCACAAAAACAACCGATCTGAAACAGCTCGAACGCAACAGAGACGAGTGTGTTCGGTGTGTTTGAGGGTGGACGTTTCCTTTAATTAGCTTCAGCTCTCCGTTCTCACGCCGTAAACCTGCCAGGATGATTGTGTAGTCATCGAGCGGGGCAGTGACATTTCCGAGATCGCCGGTGGCGACGACGACCACGCAACGCTTTCTTTCTAACAGACGGAGCGCGACGTTTGGCCCTTAGAGAGGTTTCTCGCCTCCACGTGTTCAAACTGACAGTCTGACTGAGGTGACGCAGCAAGTGATTGAAACCCGCCACC